TCTTGTGACTATCACTTTGCTGTTTGTATCTTCTAATTTACGTTGATCGTTTCTGTTTAGTATCTTAGGACTATCACTTGAGTGTTGTATCTTATGATTTATGACAATTGTATTTTATGATTATGATCATGATTTATCACTTGTTGCTTGTATGTATACTGTATACTGAGAGCTTATGCACGGAGACTAATTCCTTGTGTGTCCAATCACACTTGGCCAATAAAGAATTCTCTTCTGTTGCTTCTGTATTCCTATTGCTACTATTATTCCTAATTTTACTCTACTCTATTCAACTCTACTCTGTTCTACCTACTCTATTCTATTTCCACCCTACCCTACCCTACCTTCTGTTCTGTTCTGTTCTACAAAGAGTCCCTGTTCAAAGTTACAATGGTACTGAAAAAAGTGACTTACGATCAGGTCTTCAACCGTGATTTTTCACCTAAGTCTGTGATGGCGATCCTATGGCGAGCCATATCTGTAGGCGCACGAGCATTGCCCTAGCTCAGCTCCAGAACGCATGTGCGCACTGGCCACCTGATTTTCAGTCCTTCCGGGCCCAATGAAAGTCAAGAAATGGGCCATTTCCGGCCTCTGGAGGGCCTCTGGGGAAGGCTGTTTTCACCCTCCCCAGGCTCCAAAAAAAGCCTCTGGAGCCTGGGGAAGGCGAAAAACAGGCTACAGGGCCCACTGTGCCATCATGTGCCAAAAATGGGGTGGGGGACCATGGGGAGGTCACACGCGCATGCGTGGGGGGGGGGTGGGGCGTATTGAATTATGGGTGTGGGCATGCATGCACGCAAACCCCTGCGCTCCCCCCGCTTTTGGCACGCGACGGCAAAAAGGTTAGCCATCACTGATTTAAGTGATTCGCTAAATAACCATGCCAAAAAAAGTTGTAAAATTGTGACTGATTCACTTAATAACCACCTTGTTTAGCAATTGAAATTCTGTTCCCAATTGTGGGCATAAATTGAGGACTATCTCTGTATACATAATAAACCATGGCTTCCTAAGCACAATAGGAGTTTTTCTCCGGCTTGCTAATGTTCTACACCTGATCGGTTGACTTACTAATCACCTTAAGGACATAATTTTGCAGGGAAAGGCTGCAGGTCACCAAATCAGCGAACAACTAACTTCAACTTCTTTCCTCCCCCGTTTTCTTCCCTGCCTGCTTCCCACAAGGAAAGTCAAGGAAGGTTACAAGTTGCTGCAGTAAGTATCTCCTGTTGCTTTTTTTATCCTGAGCAGCCCCACCCCCAAGGATCTTGTACAAGTAGTCCTCAACTTACAACCACGATCGAGCCCAAAATTTGTGTGGCTAAGTGAGAAATCTGTTAGGTGAGTTTGCCCATTTTTTTTAGTGCTGTTGTAACTTCGAATGGTCACTAAATGAGCTGCTGTAAGACGAAAACTACCTGTGCTTCTGCAGTGGTGGTGGGACTTATAGAGATTTCCTATAAGTCCCACCACCGCTGACTTTATTGGGGAAGTGGTAGGGGGGGGGGAAATGGGGTGAAAATGTAATTGTAAAACTTTTGCAATAAAAATTTCTGATACCGGTTCTCCAGAACTGGTCAGAACCTGCTGAAACCCACCTCTGCCTCACATCCTAGACATAAACCAGGGGTGAAATCCACTTACCTTCGCTACCAGTTCGCAAATGTGAGCGTACGTGCGTGCCCCTTCTGCGTATGCGCAGAGAGTCAAAAAGGGGACGTGATGATGTCTGGGCAGGTGGGCGGAGCCTCCCACCACCGGCGTTATAAGTTCGCCTGAGCCGGATAGTACCAGCTGAATTTCACCACTGATATAAACTGTTTCAACTTCTTGCCTGTCAAAACAACTACCGTATTTTTCAGCGTTTAAGACGACTTTTTAACACATGAAAATCTTCTCAAAAGTCGGGGGTCTTCTTATATGCCGGGTGTTGTTCTCCTGTAACCAGGCAGACCAGCCCGAAAGGCTGTGACGAGCCAAGCTCTGACCATCCCAGGTGAGTTGCCTACTAATCAGGCAACTCAGCTGGGATTGCCAGAGCCATGTAAAAGGAAAAAAGTTTTCCCCCTCCAGCTTGCTTACCTTAGCTGCTTGCCTTGCTTCGCTTGCCTGCAATCCATTCCATCAGCAAGCAACTCCCTGCCTGCAATCAAGCAGGCAGGGAGTTGTGGACTTCAACTCCCAGAATTCGTCAGCCAGCAAAGCAAAGCTGGCTGAGGAATTCTGGGAGTTGAAGTCTACAAGTCTTAAAGTTGCCAAGGTTGGAGACCCCTGTTCTATTGGGTAAGTTTTTTCCCCTTTGGGAGCTTTAAAAAAATAGTTAATTGGGGTTTTTTTTAGTTGTTCCTTTTTAGACCTAGCCATTTAAAGTTTAGGAAGTTTTAAATTTAGCTTTCATATAAAAATTAAAATAAAATAAAATAATATTTGTGCAGCTTTCTGAGATTTAGTGTGTTTCTGTAGTGTTTCACTCTAACTACACAAACACACAAAATCTCACAAAGCTGTATGTGGAATTTGTGTGTGTAAAGTGTGAAAGTTGTTTTTTTGGGCTTTTTGTGGCTGTGTGAGATTCCTGCTTGTTGCAGGGGCCATATTGGGTCTAGCACAGCTGCTTTTACATTGTGGGTGAGCCAGTTGATGTTTTTTAATTTTTATTTGGTGTGCATTGGAAGAGAGGTAGTCTTATACGGTGAGTCGGGGGTCGTCTTATACGCCCAGTCGTCATATACGCCGGAAAATACGGTAGACACAAAGACAGTTCCCCCCCCCACCCCCATGCCATCAGTCTGCTAAACAACTAATTCCCACACCACTATCTTATACCCAAGGATATCAAACCACGTAGTATGGCTGTATTACTATTATTCTCCCCGTGTTTCCTATTACCTATTCCTTTAGCATCTTGTGACTATCACTTTGCTGTTTGTATCTTCTAATTTACGTTGATCGTTTCTGTTTAGTATCTTAGGACTATCACTTGAGTGTTGTATCTTATGATTTATGACAATTGTATTTTATGATTATGATCATGATTTATCACTTGTTGCTTGTATGTATACTGTATACTGAGAGCTTATGCACCGGAGACTAATTCCTTGTGTGTCCAATCACACTTGGCCAATAAAGAATTCTCTTCTGTTGCTTCTGTATTCCTATTGCTACTATTATTCCTAATTTTACTCTACTCTATTCAACTCTACTCTGTTCTACCCTACTCTATTCTATTTCCACCCTACCCTACCCTACCTTCTGTTCTGTTCTGTTCTACAAAGAGTCCCTGTTCAAAGTTACAATGGTACTGAAAAAAGTGACTTACGATCAGGTCTTCAACCGTGATTTTTCACCTAAGTCTGTGATGGCGATCCTATGGCGAGCCATATCTGTAGGCGCACGAGCATTGCCCTAGCTCAGCTCCAGAACGCATGTGCGCACTGGCCACCTGATTTTCAGTCCTTCCGGGCCCAATGAAAGTCAAGAAATGGGCCATTTCCGGCCTCTGGAGGGCCTCTGGGGAAGGCTGTTTTCACCCTCCCCAGGCTCCAAAAAAAGCCTCTGGAGCCTGGGGAGGGCGAAAAACAGGCCTACAGGGCCCACTGTGCCATCATGTGCCAAAAATGGGGTGGGGGACCATGGGGAGGTCACACGCGCATGCGTGGGGGTGGGTGGGGCGTATTGAATTATGGGTGTGGGCATGCATGCACGCAAACCCCCTGCGCTCCCCCCGCTTTTGGCACGCGACGGCAAAAAGGTTAGCCATCACTGATTTAAGTGATTCGCTAAATAACCATGCCAAAAAAAGTTGTAAAATTGTGACTGATTCACTTAATAACCACCTTGTTTAGCAATTGAAATTCTGTTCCCAATTGTGGGCATAAATTGAGGACTATCTCTGTATACATAATAAACCATGGCTTCCTAAGCACAATAGGAGTTTTTCTCCGGCTTGCTACATGTTCTACACCTGATCGGTTGACTTACTAAATCACCTTAAGGACATAATTTTGCAGGGAAAGGCTGCAGGTCACCAAATCAGCGAACAACTAACTTCAACTTCTTTCCTCCCCTGTTTTCTTCCCTGCCTGCTTCCCACAAGGAAAGTCAAGGAAGGTTATAAGTTGCTGCAGTAAGTATCTCCTGTTGCTTTTTTTATCCTGAGCAGCCCCACCCCCAAGGATCTTGTACAAGTAGTCCTCAACTTACAACCACGATCGAGCTCAAAATTTGTGTGGCTAAGTGAGAAATCTGTTAGGTGAGTTTGCCCCATTTTTTTTAGTGCTGTTGTAACTTCGAATGGTCACTAAATGAGCTGCTGTAAGACGAAAACTACCTGTGCTTCTGCAGTGGTGGTGGGACTTATAGAGATTTCCTATAAGTCCCACCACCGCTGACTTTATTGGGGAAGTGGTAAGCCACCTGTCCCACCACCTCTATCCTACTAAAGCAGGGGTGTCAAACTCAATTTCGTTGAGGGCCGCATCAGGGTTGTGTTTGACCTGGCGGGGACCAGGGTGGATGTGGGCAGCTCGACATCACTTGTGTTGGGGGGGCCTGTGGTGGCCCGAGCACTCTGCCAGCGAAAATGGGCTCCCAAGCTCCGTTTCTGGCTGCGACAGCCTCCTGCAACCCTCTGCAGCGAAAACAGAGCTCGGGAAGGCTGCCCACGGCCCTCGTGAGCTCTGTTTTCACTGACAGAGGCACTGTGAACCGGTCCATACCTGTTTCCAAAGCAGTCTCGCGGGCCAGATCTAAGCACCTCGCAGGCCGGATCTGGCCTCCGGGCTTTGAGTTTGACTTCCCTATACTAAAGCATGGCTGGCTCAGGAATTCTGGGAGTTGAAGTCCAGAAGTCGTAAAAGGGCTGCCGTTCCTCACCTTTGTGCTAAAGTCAACACAATTTTGTGTTTTAATTCCAGCACCTCCTGTGTCTCCTGACTTTGGTCAGTTCAAGCTTCTTTTTTTTTTTTTCTTTTCTCCAGAGGCGCTGCTGAACTCACCTCCTCTCTATCAGCTCGCTGGTGATGGACCACACGCAAGTGCCCGGCAGGACATCCCGATCAAACACACAGAGCTTCAACTTATGTACTGCTTGCTCCAGTTCCTGGATCATCTCCTGCACAAAAGGAAGGTCGTTCTGGCAGTAACAGATGAAGGCGTCAAAGAGCTCAGGGCTCCGCCCTGCAAAAAAAAAAAAGAAAGAAAAGGAAGATAATTGGTGAGTGCCAGCGTTGGTTTAAGCCAGGGGTCTCCAACTTTGGCAACTTTAAGCCTGGCGGACTTCAACTCCCAGAATTCCCCATCCAGCCCGCCAACAATATGAAACAATGCCATAAACTGGCTTGTTTGTCATGCTAAGCCACAGTTTTGGGTTCCCATCGACAAGCCATAATTGGTTCCATATCCAAATTATAAACAGACTACTGTTGGTTCATGGAAAAATCATTAATAAACCATAAACGCCTCCAAGCACAAATAATAAATAGACCACAGATGGATTCCATCCATGAACCATAAATAAATCACAACCAACTTTGCAAATAGACACAATCATTGGCAGGCCTCGGTACCTACTAAGCCAACATCAGATGATCCATATTATTGTTTACTATGATGTACAAATAGTCATAAACTTAACAAGCATTCATTTAGTGACTGTCCAAAGTTACAGCAGCAATGAATAACGTGAAGTTGCAACCAGTCCTCGCACTTACAACCAATGCAGCATTCCCCGCAGTCATAGGACCAAACTTTGGTTGCTTGGCATCTGGCTTGTGTTTACAATGAGCATCCTTGAGGGCTCGTGAACACCTATTTGTGATCTTCCCATCCAGCTTCTGACAAGCAAAGCCAATGGGGAAAGCAAGATTCGCTTAAAGTCCACTTGATTTGCTTAACAGCTGCAATGATTCGCTTAAAAACCATGGGGAAAAAATAGTAAAAAAAGGCACAGGTCACTTCACAGCTGCCTTAACAATGGAAAATCTGGTCTCAGTTCTGGTTGTAAGTCAAGGACTACCTGTATGTACTAGTACCGTGATGGAGAACCTGTGGCACGCATGTCACAGGTGGCACGTGGAGCCATATTGCTGGGCACACAAGCGTTGCCCTAGTTCAGCTCCGGCGTGCATGCGCACACCGGCCAGCTGATTTTCGGGCTTTCTGGGCCCACTGGAAATCAGAAACAGGCTGTTTCCAGCCTAGAGGTGGGTGTGGAAGGCCCATTTTTCACCCTCCCCAGGCTCCAGAGCCTTTCTAGGAGCCTGGGGAGGGGAAAACAGCCTTCCCCACCCCCCCGAGGTGCTCTGGAGGCTGGAAATGGCCCATTTGCCAACTTCCGGTGGGACCGGAAGTCGGGAAACGGGATGTTTCTGGCCTCTGGAGGGCCTGCGGAGGGGGGGGGCTGTTAGAGAAGGCCATTTTTGCCCTCCCCAGCCTCCAAGAAAGCCTCTGGAGCCTGGGGAGGGCAAAAAACAGCCCTACCTGGCCCACAGTGCCATCGTGTGCCAAAAGTAGGGAGAGCACTGGGGCATTGCACGTACATGCGCAGGGTGTGGCGGGACGCATTGAATTATGGGTGTGGGAAGTCACGCGCGTGACCCCCTCCCGCGTTCCCCCCGCTTTTGGTACGTGACAGCAAAAAGGTCCACCATCACTGAACTAGCCTGTTGAAGCTTTTCCTATTGAATTTCTACGTAGCTTGCAAATGTAGATAGTTCTGAGAAATGCCCCCAATTCCTATAGAAGGTGATGGAAGGTGATGTGTGTTTTTTCCATCTTAGGGCCAGCTGAATAGGTCCCAAAGCTACTCCTCTCTCCAATCCCCACCAGATGCCTGCTATAAAAGATCTCATTTAATTTATTTAATTTGGGAACTACCCCAGTTCAGTTTAACTCTGGGCAGTCTACTGTAAAATCAGACAAAAGAGAAAAGACAATACCATGTTTCTCCGAAAATAAGACCCTATCTTATATTTTTTTTGAACCCCGAAATAAGCACTTGGCCTTATTTTCATGGAGGTCTTATTATTTTGGGGCACGTGGAGCAAGACGGGGCTCGTCTTGCCATTTTACCTGATTTCCAGCTCTGTCTCTCTAATCCTAACCAGAGGAAATGGCGGGGATCAGCTGTGCATGCGTTTAAGTATTTTTAGGGAGGGCTTATTTTAGCACATACACTCAAAAGCCCGATTGGGCTTATTATCCAGGGAGGTCTTATTTTCAGGAAAACACGGTACTTATTTTAAAAACAGCAACTTTGCAATACAGGCAGTCCTTGACTCATGACCAAAACTGAGCCCAAAATTTATGTTGCTAAGTGAGACATTTGTTAAGTGAGTTTTGCCCCATTTTACGACCTTTCTTGCCAGTGAATCACTCGCAGGTGTTAAGTTAGCAACATGGTTGTTAAGTGAATCTGGCTTCCCCATTGACTTTGCTTGTCAGAAGGTCGCAAAAGGGGATCCATGTGAACCCAGGACATTGCAACCGTCATAAGTACATGCCAGTTGCCAAGCATCTGAATTTTGATCAGGTATCCCTGGAAATGCTGCAACGATCGTGTGAAAAACATCATAAGTCACTTTTTTTCAGTGCTGAGGTAACCTTGAACAGTCACTAAATGAAATGTTATAAGTCGAGGACTACCAGTATTAAAATTATTTAAAGATCTGACGGCCCATTTACCAAGGGGGTCATCCAGAGTGGTGATGCCCTGCATTTCGGATGCTCTCGGAAAGCTACTGTCCACCGCTGGGACTTGAACCGGTCGCTCCGATTCTTCCTGTTGCTTCCTCTGGAGATACTTCTTACAGTTCTCTTCTACAAATAGAAGAAAGACACAGAGGTGAACAACTTTCAGAAACCAGGACTATGCATAACTTCGGGGAGTTGAGAGGGCGGATGGGGATAGCCAACTTGGAAAAGCTCCCATTGTCTCCACTAAGTCAGGGGTCCCCAACAGGGGTGGGCTTCAAAATTTTTAGCAAGGGGTTCTCTGCTCGGTTGCTGGGTGGGCGAGGCCTAGTTGGCCTCCTGCACCACAGCAGGGGGGGTGTGCTTTTTGCCCTCCCTGGGCTCCGGAGGTTTTCCTCGAGCCTCCGGAAGGGTGAAATGGCCTCCCCAGGCTCCGGAGGCCCTCTGGAGGCCGGAAACAAACTTCCAGCTCTCCCTGAGCCTCCGCGTGCACCCAGCACTTACCTGCATCCAAAACGGGCCACATGGGGACTCCTGGGAGGGATAGGGTGGGGTAGGCAGGGCCAGCCAGGAGTGGGATTTGGGGGTTCTCCGAACTGCACAGAATCTTAGCTAAAGGTTCTCCCGAACCCCTACGAACCTCCAGCAGCCCACCCCTGGTCCCCAACCCCCAGGCTGCAGCTCACTACCCAGCCATGTCTTATTCAGAATTGGACCAAGCAAGTGTCTGTCTGGAGCGCACACATATGCAACTCAACTTGTGCAAGCAGCGGGCCGGCGGGCATTTGCATGCATGCATGCCAACCCACCACTTCCGCAAAGGCTGCGTGCACGTGAGCCCGTTTGCACCTCAGCCCACCGCTTACACAATCCAGTCCCCTTCTCCCCCGCCCCCAGCCAAGCTGCAAAGATTGAGGACTACTGGTCTAAGTCAGGGATCCCCAATCTCTTCTGTTCAACCCCTTCATGAAATTTCAGATTGACCCCCCCCCAAACATATATTATCTGAAAATAATTTAATAAATACTATTTGAATGAATAGTACTGTTGGACGAAATATCCATCTGGTTCAGTTCCAAGCCGGGAGAAAGGAACTGGAGACAAAATAGGAGGCTGATGGGAAAGAGGATCCATTTATTGGTGAAGCAGAACCACATATTGATGGAGTTGAGAGTGGGGGGATTTTATACCTTCTCTTGAGCTTCTTGTTGCTGTGCAAAAACATGTATTCTATTGGCTGTTGTCAGACTCCCATGGAGACACATAGGGATTATGTAGGGGTCATAGCTGACTCTATAGGCAAAGTACAAACCCTGGGTATTTGTCTGAGCTAAGTTTGGTTGAAGTTTGGAGGGTGATGCAATGAAGGGGTATTGGGCAATTCTTATTGCGGCTGAGGGCTAATCCTACCTTTGTTGGATCTTGGGTGAGGGTATTTGCTTATGAATAGAGATCTATCTACCTCTATCTCTTAAGTGCTGACATTGGCTGTGCACTATTAAGGAGGGCGGGGGCTTGCTTTCCAAATACATGTTTCTCCATTTCTCATCCAGGGAAATATAATATTCTGCCTTTTTAATATTTCTCAAAATATTTCATTCTTCTAGGAGAGGGGTGGGTGCTAACTTTCTACAGTACCATGAATAATAATTGAATTGCACATAGTTGTCTATATAACGATGACAATACAGGTAGTACTTTACTTACAACAGTTCATTTAGCGACCATTCAAAGTTACAATGGCACAGAAAAAAGTGACTTATGACCAGTTTTCAACCTTATGACCGTTGCAGCATCCCCATGGTCATGTGATCAAAATTCAGCTACTTGACAACTGATTCATATTTATGACGGTTGCAGTGACCTGTGGGGGGGGTGTATCTTGTGATCCCCTTTGGCAATCAAAGTCAAACGAAGTCAATGGGGAAGTTAGATTCCCTTAACTATCGTGTCACTATCTTAACAACTGAATTTTGAATCACGTGACATTAGGTTTGGTGCAGCGGTTGTAAGTATGAAAAATTGTCACTTTTTTCAGGGCTGTTGTAACTTCAAACTGTTGTAAGCTGAGGACTACCTGTATTTTAGAGAGATAATGTCTATCTTAAAATGACTGGCATTTGCTGACAGTTTTCAGCAATCCAGAACAAGGATGTATAAAACTTGAAACAACCCTAAAAAGGAACAACTATATTTTCCCATCGAAGTCAACCACCCGGACTGGAGCGTTCAGATGTTGTTTTCCTGCACCTTTTTAATACCATTAAACCAGTCTTCCCTATTTGGGATTCCCTCTGGAGATGTGGACTTGCAGAATGCTCCCACCAGCCTAGCCATGGCTAAGAATTCTGACAGTTGACGTTCTCACACAACTGGAAGGCGACCAGATCAGGGGAACGTGACACTAAAATCTGGAGACCAGAAATGTACCAGATTCTCACCAAAGCTTCAGTTTTAATGAATTGCATTAGTTGGGAAAAGTGATTGATGATAAGCCCACAGCCTTAAAACAGGATGTGGGGGTGGGGGGAATGGGTAAGCAGGAAATGACAATGAAATACTTACAAGGAAGTGTCTTTTTGCCTTTTGCAGAAATTGCCTCCAATTAGATGGGAAGGCAGCTTTACACAGCATTTCAGCCCCCCCCAACCTTCAGCCCCTCACCTGTCCTGACAGGCAAGGTATTCAACGGGAGAGACACTTTACTTGCCTCTATTGATCCTAGATTAGAATATAGCTGGGACGAATGCGCAAGAGTTTTGCAAAACAAAGGAAACCCAAACTGTCATCCTTTCGGAGCTGAGCTGGGATCCTGCCAAGCTGCAATTTCAGGATGTCTCCCCAAAGCTCATAGCAGGCTACAGAGCAGCGATCCCCTTACGACAGCGGGCTTCCCAAGGCAGGGCGCGCACCCCGCCCCATCCTCCCTCGGATAGCGACCTTTCCCGCTCCTATCCGGCCGGACGCTCACCGATGCTGGGTCCCAGGTCGGTGAGGATGTCTTGGCGCCCCAGGAGGCGCAACAGACTCAGGAGGCGGCCCACCGTTGCCCCGCCGGGGCTCTTCGCCTGCCAGTCGTCCAGCAGGAGAACGGTGGGGTTTCGCTGGGCTTCGAAGTGCTTGATCTCCAGGTATTCATAGCCCAGCTCCTCCGCCAGCGTCGTCCAGTCGGCCGCCACCGGGGCGCGCGGGTCGAGAAAGAGACCCAGCCGGCGCCGCACCGAGTAATTCAGAGCCACCAGCGGCACCGCGGTACTTTCCGACGTCTCCGCTTCGCCCCCGATGCATCTGGTAGTCTCCCCCGCCATGGCCGGCTCGGGCTGAGTCTTGCTTGGGTTGGCCAAGCTAGAGTTGCTCGGCTGCGCCGCTTTCGCAACACATCCGATGGCGCAGAAGCAAAGGCGGAGTCGTCGCCGCCCAACCGGTTTCGTTTTGGGCGCACGGCGCCTCTGGGCTGCGCCTCTCGCGCAGCTGGGGAAGCAAGGCAGCTGCAGAGCTGGGATTGACGGGACTTGAAGTCCGGCCACTTCCCCGCGTGGAGAAAGCGAGCGAAGGCTTCCAGATGTAAATGAACTATACCACCCGGCATCCTTCGCTCGGGGCCAGGTGAGAAGGACTGGCTGCGCGTTGGAGATGTTCTCCGGAGGGGAACGAGTGAAAGTGGCGCTGTAGCGCAAGAAACAGAACAGGACGGAACAGAATAAGAGAGTTGGAAAGGGAACCTTAGAGGCCTTCTAGTCCAACCCGCTGCTCAGGCAGGAAATCCTACCTAGACCGTTTCAAAGAAAGTGTTGTCCAGTCTCTTCTTTAAAAACTTCCAGTATTGGCGCATTCACAATTTATGGAGGCAAGAAGTTACACTGATTAATATTCTGTCAGGAAATTCCTCTTTAGTTCTAAATTTGATCTCTCCTTGATTAATTTCAACTCTACTCTGTAGAAGAAGAACCCCTGGATCTCAAAGAACTTTCTTTCCACTGCCAGCACCAAGAAAATTAAATGAAAATAAAGAATCACCCTTTTTATTTAATACCTAATACCTTCCCTTAAAAAGATTTTTGTGGGAATTAACATTGAAATATAATTTAGGGTTGGGAAGCACATTGCAACAGGTGTGAATTCCACAAATCTGTCAAAGTTGACAGTTTAAAGCTCTCCAGAAACCACCTGGTATTAAATCAAGCCTAACCAGGGTTAAGCAAACCAGAGTTTAGTTGGATTGAGTCCAACATTTCTTTTGCTAAGTGAGACAGCTGTTAAGTGAGTTTTGCCCCATTTTATGACCTTTCTTGCCATAATTGCTAAGTGAATAAGCAGTTAAGTAAATGGTTGTTAAGTGAATCTCGCTTACCCATTGACTTCGATTGTCAAAAGGTCACAAAAGGTGAACACACGATCCTAAACATTGGAGCCAACATAAATACATGCCAGTTTCAAGCATCCAAATTTTGATCATGTGACCGCGAGGATGCCGCAATGTTTGTAAATGTGGAAAAATGATCATAAGTCACTTTTAGTATCGTCGTAACTTTGGTCATTAAACGAACAGTTGTAAGTCGAGGACTCTAGGGTTTTCTTTCAAAAGGAAATTTCAGAAGCTTTTAGGAAAAATTGCAGGCCACCGTATCCTTCATGCTCAATTCTTTCCTATTGTCTCAAGGAGTATTACTCACCTACCCCCATCACAAGAGCAAACCTTGGATAAAGAAAAGTATTTAGAAAAATGAACCTAAATATGCTTCATCCTACCGAGTGGGATTTTATTTATTTTTGAACGGCGCTATAACACAGCAGCGTATGCAGATGGTGTCAGAAACAACCAAAAGCCTCTTTTTGGGTTTTCTAATTCCCTGGTTGGCAGGGAATGGCATCTTCACCATTGCAAAGATTACTTGAAGCTAGTTACAGCTTTTAACAAAAATAAAATCCCTTTTTTATCAATAAAGGAGAATATTTGTAGCTCAAAGTTGGACTGAGGGCTCCTTGATGCTCCCTGAGCTTGTCTGTTTTCTTGCAGATGTTTCATTCCCAAAACTGGGTAACGTTATCAGTGATGTTTATTCTAGTTAGTTCTCTGTAGATGCCATGTGTTAAATAAATAAATAAGTGCAGCACAATCCTGCCAAAATTTAGCTGCTACTGGACAAGGCGTCTCTTGAAAGAGTCAGAGGAATATAGAGCATTGCTATCAAGGGCAGGTCACAGTTGTTCCTAGTCTTCAGCCGCCAAGATCTGATCATTGGAGGCCGACAGATTCTCTTCCAGAGGTTATGCGGTATTCAGTCCTTCTCATCAAAATTCTTCCCAAATCCTTACCGCAGCCATGTCGAATAAATCTATCTTGCTCCTTTCATAAATGTGCTAAGCGATCACGGCTTATCTCAGATATCCGTTGAGTTCAGGAGGAAGCCATTTATAGATTTTCTGATCCATAACCCAATCCTTAAGACGCATCCAGATGTCATTGCTCTACCGAAAATAAGACCCTATGTTATATTTTTTTTTGAACCCCGAAATAAGCGCTTGGCCTTATTTTCGGGGAGGTCTTATTATTTCAGGACGCATGGACGGCTCCTTTTGCCGTCTTACATGATTTCTAGCTCTTCGTTTAAATATTTTCAGGGAGGGCTTATTTTCAGGGGGAGGCTTATTTTAGTGCGTGCGCTCAAAAGCCCGATTGGGCTTATCATCAGGGGATATCTTATTTTCAGGGAAACAGGGCAATTCCTACTTCACAAACATCTCTTTGTTCCTAGTGAGTTCTGCTCTCTAGGCTATTACAGCTGACAATGTGTGTTCCACATCCAATCTTGGTTTATTCTTTGTTTATCTTTGATCAACCATTATCTATCTGTACCTGGCATTCTGGGGTAGAACTTACTTGTTCTTTGGCCCTTGCTTTCCTTCCTCCCTCTGTCCCTCCCTATTTATCTCTGCTTCCTTCCCATTCCTAAAACCCTAAGGCTGCATCTAAATAATCATCACTGTTGATGGCAAATGTTCAATGGTTATAAATCAGATGTTCCAATAGCATATTCCATTAGGAAACCAATATATTATCACCAGGGGTGAAATCCAGCAGGTTTCCGGTAGCGGAAACTTTGAACAGTTCGGAGAACCGGCAAATGCCACCTCTGGCTAGCCCCAGAGTGGGGTGGGAATGGAGATTTTGCAGTATTCTTCCCCTGCCACGCCTACCAAACCATGCCTACAGAACCGGTAGTAAAAAAAATTGGATTTCACCACTGATTATCACTCATTTTAAAATGGCAGAAGTTCTGGAAAATCACAATAGAAAATACCTGCTGTTATATTTCCAGTTTACTTATTTGGTCAGCTTCATACCAATAACACTGGAAGCAGCAGAGACAAAGAGACATGTGTATACCAAGGCAGTATTCACCTTTGGCTTTAGACCAAGAATTCAAATTAAATCAGTATTTAATCATTACAATTATTGTTGAAAGAAAAATGAAAGAGCACCATTAACTTGCCACATAGGAAACACTATGCAATTTTTTTTTTTTTAAAAAAAATTGTATTTGCAGGAGAATATGGAATATAAAATAATCTCTGTGGCTCAGGATTGAACTGTGGAGCCCTTTCGTGTTCTCTGAACCTGGTTCTTGCTTACGGATGTTTCATTATCCGACTGGGTAGCATCAACGGTGACATGGCTCTAATAACAACGAGAGCTTTTTCTTTTCTTCCTCGTCCTGCAAAAAGTTAGTAAGGTCTGAGGCTCCATTTACTCAACACGCAGTACAGCCTCAAATGTACATAGATAGCAAATAGGAACACCACCAGAAGGATGATGACTCCAATGGTCTTCAAGATTTGTCCCTGCCTTTTTCTGAAAAGGACAGAGAAAAGAGAACAGCTTGCTAGGAGAACCTTGCTAATTCACGATGCTCCCTAGCCTTTCATTAGCCAGGTGCTTTCGAAACTGCATCATCTCTATTCAACTGAGCCATATTGCTTAGGAATCCTTGGAATTGTTGCCCAGTTTATTTATTGTTTATTTATTTATTGGTTCGATTTATATGCCGCCCTTCTCCGGAGACTCAGGGCAGTTTACAATGCATTAAGCGATAGCCTTCATACTTTTGTATATACCTACTTAGTAGGGCTTTCGCGCCCCTCCCCAAGCAGTGTTCTTTTTTATACAAAGTCAGCTTATTGCCCCCACAATCCAGGTCCTCATTTTACCTACCTCGGAAGGATGGAAGGCTGAGTCAACCTTGAGCCTGGTGAGATTTGAACTTGCAGTAATTGCAGGCAGCCACTGGTGCTATTTAACAGCACTTTAGCTTGCTGCGCCACCAAGGCTCTTGCAAGTTTACCAGTAAGGCATCAAGTATAATCTCACCAAGGGATTCTCAAACATCACCCATCCTACAGGGCACCAGAGGGAAAGGGCTCCTATTTGGGGGCTCACTGGAATAGGAAGTGAAGCATTGGGCTGGGAGAAGGCCTCCAGAGGTCTCAAGAGCAATGATCGGACCACCTTGTGAAAGCATCAAGCATGGAGTAGCACCATTCATGGGCAAAAATGAGCTAAGGGGCAACACTTCCCAATCCAGGCCTTTTAAGGGATAGGGCCATTTCCAAATATTTAGAGGGAAAGGGAGGGATATGAAGGGAACGGAAGGGAAGAATACTCAAGTCGGGCAAATTAAATCTATCCACAATTACAGCCTATACTGATTAAGACATACCTGCACCAAGAGCTCTCCTTTCCTAGGTTCTTCCTTACAATCTGAAAGCCATGAGGGGCAAATAACAAAACAATACGTGAATAGATTTACAGGCACATCTCTTACATTAATAAGTATATTGATTATGGAGTCATTGCCTAAACTGTACAATTGTAGCAAATAATTGGAATGCATCAGATTTTGATTAGCAAACCCCCTCCAAGTTGCATGGGTGCCTCCCACCTAATTCATCTTTTCCAGATAAGTTTTGTTTCTTTTTTTAAAAAACAATCTGGTACCACTTTTCCAACTAGCAAATGTTATTAAAACGCTAATTTTTAAAAATGTTATTCAGAAAAGCTGCTTCCAGACTCTCAACCCAGCTCTCCTTCTGTAATGTCCAATACTTTTTTGCAACCCTTGCAAATTTTCCCAGCTAAATGCAATATACAAATTATATACATATAGCACTATTCTCTAAAATGCAAGACTTAAAAAAATATATGCTAGATTTCATTCATTTGCAAGAGGACCTGTGATAAACTTCAGATCAGTTTTACTTCTAATTCCTCAGATACAGCTTCTGTATTATTGCATCTCTGCATTCAAACTGTTTTTATTTTATGATCAACTGATAGTAGTTGAATTTCTCTTCACTTTTCTTTCTCTCTGTAAATCAGCCTTTCTCAATCTTTTTACCTGGAAGAACCCTTGAAACAATTTCCATAAAAATATATCTACATTTGGCATTGCATGGTGCATAAAGTTTAAAAAATTATATATTTATATTTATGGACTCTCATGAAACCCTTAGCGACCTCTTGTAGAATCCCGTTTGAGAAAGGCCAATCTACAAATGATTGGCTGTGGGGCTACACCCATGTCTCTCCTGCCTAGAGAGGGATTCTGGATGTCCTTCACAGGGCCTCTTTCCTGAGGGATGAAGCTTCACGGTAGCCAGATGGAGCCACCTGAAGGTGATGTTTCCATCACTCCTGCAACTCTTAGGAAAAAGAGTCACTTTTCTTCTTAAACGAAAAGTTTCCCAACCTGATCGGGCTCTTGAATTCAGGGTTCAAAAGACAAAGATGCAGCATTTATCCCTGAGGTGAGGAATATATCAGGAATTCTTGTTCCTCGTTTTGAGTATTAATTAGTCCATCCTTAATATAAATATTTATGTTACATTAAATGACTATTATCTATTAATCATTTATGCTCTTCGTATACCTGTTTTCCTTGAGAAGGAATTCCTTTGGAGAGAGGTACTTTTCTCCTCCCCACTTCAGGATCTTTCCTTCCTGTCATCTCTTTAAATATTTCATCCTGTAGACCTTGGATAGATGTTTTCAGCCATTCTTCCACGGTCAGATGTGGTGTTTCAGGCACTCCCTCTTCGAGGTGATTTAGGGCTATCGCAAGCCACTCCTTCACATATTGCCTGGATTCCTCTGGACATCCTTCCTGAACATTTTGTATGGCTTCTTGGAGCCATTCCTCCAGGTTGTTTCTGGCTGTGTCCGGGGGTTCTCGTCTGAGTTTTCCCAGAGATGCTCGTAGCCATCCTTGCAATCCTGTTCTGGATGCAGTAGACCCAATCTCTCTGGAATTTGCTAAAGAGGCTTGGAGCCATCCATTCCTTAAGCTTTTTTCGGAGGGGGCAGGTTCTAGCTGAATTATTATCTCCCTGCTCTCTTCCACACTTGCTCTTCTTCCTTTAGAGTATTGTTCATCCAAATCCTGGATGCCCTTAATAGATGCTTCCAGCCATTCCTGAGTACCAAGATGGGATGCTTCAGGTCCCTCCTCTTCAAGGTTATTTACAGTTGTTTGGAGCCATTCTTTGACATCTTGATTGTCTACTTCAGAACGTTCCTCTTCCAGGTTTTTCAAGGAATCTTGAAGCCATTTTTCTAGAACTGGTTGAGGTTCAGTAGAAGACGAGAGTCTTTCTAAGGATCTTTGAAGCCATGGCAATATATTGTCCACCGGTCCTTCAGAAGATTGCTTCTTGAGGTTCTCTATTGATTTTTCAAGCCATTCTTTCCTTAGGCTTCCTCGAAAAGTTACTCTAGGCTTTTGTAGATGCTTAATGCCTTTAATAGATGCTTCCAGCCATTCCTGGGTCCCCACAGGGGATGCTTCAGGTCCCTCCTCTTCAAGGTTATTTACAGTTGTTTGGAGCCATTCTTTGACATCTTGATTGTCTACTTCAGAACTTTCATCTTCCAAGTTTGTCAAGGAATCTTGAAGCCATTTTTCTAGAACTGGTTGAGGTTCAGTAGAAGACGAGAGTCTTTCTAAGGATCTTTGAAGCCATGGCAATATATTGTCTACAGGTCCTTCAGAAGATTGCTTCTTGAGGTTCTCTATTGATTTTTCAAGCCATTCCTTCCTTAGGTTTCCTCGAAAAGTTACTCTAGGCTTTTGTAGATGCTTAATGCTTTTAATAGATGCTTCCAGCCATTCCTGGGTACCTACAGGGGATGCTTCAGGTCCTCCTTCTTCAAGGTTGTTTAGAGTTGTTTGAAGCCATTCTTTGACATCTTGATTGTTTACTCCAGAACTTTCCTCTTCCAGGTTTTTCAAGGAATCTTGAAGCCATTTTTTGAGAGCAGGTTTAGGTTCAGTAGAAGATGAGAGTCCTTTGAAGGATTCTTGAAGCCATTTCAATGTATTCTCCACAGATCCTTCAGAATTTCGCTTGAGGTTCTCTATTGGTTTTTCAAGCCATTCTTTTCTTAAGCTGCTTCGAGGCTCCGTCTCGGACTTTTGAAGATCTTGAATGCCTTGGATAGAGGCCTCAAGCCATTCCTGCACATTCAGATGGGATGTTTCTGGACCTTCTTCCTGGAGTTGATTTAAGGACACATCCAGCCAACTGTTCACATCTTCCCTGAATGTTTCAGGAGATTGCTTCTGAAGATTTATCAGAGATCCTTTAAGCCATTCTGCCAGGCTGGGTCTTGATGCTTTATTAGAAACTTCATTTAGGTTTTTTAGAGATTCCTGAAGCCACCCTAGTACATTTTGCCTGGATTCTTCGGACTTTTTGGTTTTCAGGTTGTCTATAGAAGCTTTAAGCCAGTCCTTCTTTAGTGTGCTTTCCAGGAATTGAGGTTTCATTTCTTCCAGATCTTCTTTCTTATCTTCTGGCTTTGTTTGCCACACACTCACAACGCATCTTTTGTGCTCTCTTGTGCACAAAAGTGATATTAACTGGTCTCTATCCATCAGCGACCTAGAGCAGTCTTTTCTCAGTTTTCTCTCTCTAGAAAAATCAGAAGATTAGATATGCAGCTGCATCAACAACAAAATATTCTTAGTAACTCTAATGAGAAGTGCTTGTTGTCAGGAAACTCTTACTCCAAAATCAGATATTTTTTTTTGACAGTGGAGGGGTGGAGAGTTTTAAAAAAATCTACCTTGTACATATCTTTTGAAAAGTTCCATTCAAATCCATGAGACTTACTTCTAGTTATGCATATGGAAAATTACTAAGCTACTTTTCAATATCTTTTAGGTTACATGGGAAATGTATGATTCTTTAAAGAACGTTGGGAGGAGGCAGCAAATTCACTATGTGGGAGACATTATTTCCCCCATGTTAATTCTATGAATTAAATTGTCTTTAGGAGTTACATCTTACATTTCCCATTGCAAGAGGAATTATAGCTTACGTTATCTGAGCCTTGTGGTTAGAGTGCAGTACTGCAGGCTATTTCAGCTGACTGCTGGCTGCCTGCAATTTGGCAGTTCAAATCTCACCAGGCTCAAGATTGACTCTGCCTTCCATTCCAAGGTCAGTAAAATGAGGACCCAGATTGTTGAGGACAATATGCTGACTCTGTAAATGGCTTAGAGAAGGCTGGAAAGCACTGGAAAGTGGTATATAAATCTAAGTGCTATTGTTATTACATTTCCTATCGTACTGAATTCAGATGGATTAAACTGCAAACAGGGCTTAGGCATCTGACCCAGAGCCAAGGAAAGAAGGTAACTCTTTCTTTACAGTGCACAATCCTAACGGAATTTATTCTCTACCTAGGAGGTATCAATAAATTACACATTATTTTGCCAGGAAGATGCCCTGTGAAGAGATTCATTATATCCATGAGTGACCCAGTGCTCCCTTCTCTTCCTTTGCTACTGCTTTAATCAAACCCAAAGTCTCTGGAAATGAAAGTTCTTCGGGGAACAAATTTAAACCTTATGATTTATTTATTTATTTTATTTATTTATTTATTAGATTTCTATACCGCCCTACTCCCGAAGGACTCAGGGCGGTGCACAGCCAAACAATAAAAACACATACAATACAAAATTTAAAAAATAGAATAAAATCAAATTAAATAATTTTGGCCCCGACAAATTTAAAACCCCAAACTTTTAAAACCAATTTAAAATTGAATATATAAATACTAAAAAATATTTAAATATTTATGAGAACAGATAAAGGCAGCTTAACATGCTTCGACAGCCAGAATTTGAAGGTGAAAAAAAAATCTGCCTCATATTTCCCTCTAACGGTTGTTTCAGGCAATGGAATTCAACCCGGAATATTGCATAATGTATGTCCAGGAGAGGGAGCTATTCAGAATTTAATACTGAATTATGGAGGAGAAAGTCAGGGCTGCTATCTAAAAATTTCTCACCTGCTCAGTTGCTCATCAAAATATTCACAGAGTTCCTGTTTCTGTCCTTGCAGTTGGAGATTGATTCCTACAAGCTCCTTGTTCTCACGTTGGAGCTTATCTCTGTCTGACAACAGGTCACAAATTACCCTCTGCTGTCTGCAAAATATGAACAGCAGGCTGAAATTAGCTCCCTTAGTTTTTCTTGAATATAATTTTTTAAAATTAAAAACACCTCTATTTTTCCCCCAATGTTGTTCCAAGGAATGGAATTCAACTCAAAACATTGTATATAAAGTATGAGCAAGAGAGGGAGCTAAAGAGAATTTAATAGGAAATTCTGGAAGAGAAAGTCAGGGGTGCTATCTAAACATTTCTCACCTACTCAGTTCTTCCTCAAAATGTCCACATATTCTCACAAGCTCTTTGTTCTCATGGTCGAGCTTTTCTCTGTCCAACAAGAGATTTGAAATTATCGTCTTTCTGTAAATTATGAAGATCACAGTTAAATTAGTTTCCTTGGTTTTTCTTTTAACTTAGATCAGCTTTTTTTCAAATTAAAAAGTATTAAAAATACCTTCATGTAAGGATGTGTTTATGTATTTGTATATTGATGTATTAATTTATGCAATTTAATTCAGTGTTGCTATTTCAATTACAACAGCCAGCAGTCTCTGCTTACAGGAAACACTGCTTTAATCAATTATTGTGTATGTTAGAAATGCTCAGTAAAAGTGACAAATCAATAAACTTTCCCTGTTTTTTAGCCATACCTACATTATATTGTTAAGGGATTTGATCAAATATTATGGTGTCACTATATTTAGAAGAGTTGGATTATTCAATTATTTTTACTTTAGTATTTAGCATTACTTAATCTATTTATGCTACCAAGGGGTCTTTAGATATAAACAACTTTTTTCTTATACATTCCACAAAAAGTGTGAACCAATTCAAAATAATTTCCAGAAGCAAAGTAAAGTTATGCAGGATATGGTTCTCACATCTCACAAATGCCCTATCTAAAGTTCTCACATCTCACAAATGCCAAGGTGTCACCATATTCCAATAAATTGCTTTCTTAGAAATAAGTCAAGTAGCTTGTTTATGAGGGAGGATGATATAGCAACGGTATTAATAAAATGTCATTGTGAGAGGCTCTATTTGAAACAACAGTTGCTATTCACAGGTTGTTTTCCAACCTTTACTAGAACCGCTTCTCTTCCAATATGAGCAGAAAAATGTCATCAAATTTACCAATATGGCCTTCAAAATTCAAAATATTGCCTTTCTCCATGCCACATCCACTCCATCTCATTATTTCAGAATTGGTTTAATTCACCGGTTACACCAGGGGTGTCGAATTCAAGGCCTGCGGGCCAGATCCGCCCCATGGGGTGCTTAAATTTGGGCTGTGGGGCCGCCCTGGAAACAGCAAAGAACCAGCCCACGGTGCCTCTGCCAGCAAAAATGGAGCTCGGGGAGGCTGCATTCAGCCCATCCGGGCTCCATTTGTGGGCTCTCTTCACGGCCTCCCTGAGCTGCGTTTTTGCTGGCAGAGGGCTGCAGGAAGCCATCGCAGTCGAAAACGGAGCCTCAACGAGTGACGTTGAGCTGGCTACACCCACCCTGGCCACTCCCACCCCGAGGCCAAATACAACCCTGATGTGGCCCTCAATGAAATTGAGTTTGACACCCCTGGGTTATATCATCTGCAGCTGGCACAGATGTTCCTCCAATTGTTTTCAATTGTGAAAAGGTAACAATTGCCTCCACATTCTGACTTTTGGTGTTTGTTCCTCCTTCTCTCTGCTGGAGAATTTCAGCACTTCAGCACTAAATTCTGTAGTGTTACAATCCCACTGAATGCAAAGGTCTTCTTCATATTCAACTATCAGACTGCATTGTAAGAAATGCCAAACTCTGGGAAACCGTATTATTGATGTTTGTTTGCTTGTTTTGATACGATGGCTACTCCCTTTGTAGATATTATGAATATTGTCTTCAAAGTGTAGTTACTTAGCAATATTATATAAAGATTTGAAGGAATGCTTCCCTTCGAGGAAGCTTTTATTATCTCATAATATACTCATAAACAAAACTACATGATCACTGAGAGTCAACATTGACTTGATGGCAGATAATCCATCAAGATAATAAAACAGCAAATAATCACAAAATACTTTTCAGAAGTCATTCTGGAAATCTTTATGTTTTACATTTTAATAGACAGTTATTTACTATAATTATATATTATAATATAATTTGTTGACTCAATTGTAATAACTATATAATCTAAATAACAATAACAATGGAAGAGACCTTGGAGGTCTTCTAGTCCAACCCCTTGCTTCAGCAGGAGACTCTATACCATTTCAGATAAATGGCTGCCCAGTTTCTTCTTAAAAACCTCCAGTGAATTTCATATTTAAGAGCCCTGGTGGTTCAGTGGTTGGAATGCAGTACAATAAAACAATAGAATAACAGAGTTGGAAGGGAGCATTCACAACTTCTGGAGACAAGTTGTTCCACTGATTAACTATTGCAGTATTCAGTATTGCAGGCTAATTCTGCCGACTGCCAGCAGTTTGATCCTAAGATTGATTCAGCTTTCCATCCATTCGAGGTTGATAAAATGAGGACACAGATTGTTGTGGGGGAGGGGTGTCTGCCAACCACTTAGAGAGGGCTATAAAGCACTGTGAAGCAGTATATAAGTGCTGGTGAATATGGTGAATAGGTATAGTATTAACAGAAAGGAAATTTATTTTTAACCTAACTTATTTCAGTAGAAATTGTTTAAGAAATTAAACTCTTCCTGTCAGGTTTCGAAGTCGTCTCAAATAAATTGCATTTCAAACAAAGTCTTTGAAAAACACCCATTTATTAAGCACGACATTCTAACTCCGACTCCATCGCAGCCAACACTGACTTCCAGACCCCAAACCCTCCCTTTCCGTTCCCCACTCCTCTGCACTCATTGGCCATCTTCCAAGTCACTTTACCCCTAATCTACTGCTCCAGTTCAAAGGAATTTCCCCCCTCCCATCCCATCTCCTGGGGGATATTATCTCCAGGGAAAATAAGTAGGTGAAAAGTCAAACGTCCCTTTCCAGACGCCTCCACTTCTCCTTTTTATATCAGCACTAGAGTAAATGCAGCTTGAAGTACTGACATTTCCCTTAAAACTCCAAGGATATTCAATAATTAAGTTTGGCTTGGATTTAATCTACTTATCAGGCTAAAAAATGGCTGCCATAAAGTAAACTTTGGTACTTGATGGATTAAGGAATGCAACACAAAAAGGGTGAAAATTCTGGGCAATTAAAAGTACACTTTTCTAAGATGAAAGAAGCAATAGCATTTACCAATAGACTTATATATCACTTCACAGCTCTCTCTAAGCAGTTTACAGAGTCAGCTTATTGCCCCCAACAATCTGGGTCCTCATTTTACCGACCTCGGAAGGATGGAAGGCTAAGTCAACCTTGAGCCAGTGAGACTCAAATTGCCGAATTGCAGGCAGCCTACAGTCAGCAGAAATAGACTGCAGTACTGCATTCTGCGCCACCACTGGCTCTATATCACATAAAGTCATTTTCAACTATGCCATGACTTACATAAAATCCAGGTCCTTTGCCTTTAGCTCCTCTTGCAGACATTTTATTTTCGTCTGAAGAGCCTGGAATAGTCAAAATACATTACAAGTGATGTATATGTGAATGTGTGGGTGTATATGTATATGTATATGTATATGTATATGTATATGTATATGTAAATGTATATGTATATGAACAAATAGAGGTAGTCCTCAACTTATATAACAATTGATTTAGTGGCCTTTCAAAGTTACAACAGCACTGAAATAAGTGACTTATAACTTTTTTACACTTACAACCATTGCGGCATCCCCATGGTCACATGATCAAAATCCAGATGTTTGGCAACTGGCTTATATTATATTTATGACAGTTGCAGTGTCCAGGAGTCACGTGATCCCCTTTTGCGACCTTCTGACAAGCAAAATCAATGGGGAAGCCAGATTCACTTAACAACCATGTTACTAACTTAACAACTGCAGTGATCCACTTAACAACTGAATAACAGAGTTGCAAGGGTCCTTGGGGGTTTTCTAGTCCAACCTCCTGCTTAGGCAGGAAACCCTACACCACTTCAGACAAATGGTATCCAATATCTTTTTAAAAATCTCCAGTGTTGAAGCATTCAAAACTTCTGGAGGCAAGCTGTTCCACTGATTAATTGTTCTAACTATCAGGAAATTTCTCCTTAGTTCTAGGTTGCTTTTCTCCTTGATTAGTTTCCACCCATTGCTTCTTGTCCTGCCTTCAGGAGCTTTGGAGAATAGCTTGACTCCCTCTTCGTGGCAGCCCCTCAAATATTGGAAGACTGCTATCATGTCACCCCTAGTCCTTCTTTTCATTAAATATTAGATATACCCAATCCCAGCAACCCTTTTTTTATAAGTTTTATCCTCCAGTCCCCTCATCCTCTTGGTTGCTCTTCTCTGCACTCTTTTTAGAGTCTACTGTGGCACTGTGGCAGGAAAGGTCGTAACATGGGGAAAATCTCACTTAACAAATGTCTGACTTAGCAACAGAAATTTTGAGCTCAATTGTTGTTGTAAGTAAACTTCTTGTTGCAACATGAAATATTTTTCAGGCTATAATCTCAGGAGTAAAACAAAAACCAACTTTTCAAAAGGAATTTTGATGTGTGGGAAAATTGATCCCTCCGACTGATCCCTATTTCTTAACATGTGAAAACCATGATGTGTCCTTTAAGAGATGCTGCCTAAGGAGCCGTCAGATAAGAGACAGCAGAGCCTGCAGTGGCCTAATGGGTGGGGAGAAGATATTTTTCTCTTAAATTCTCAGACCATAAAGGAGACAGTGGAAGAATTGGCCTCCAGACTTGCAGGGTTCTTTCAATGTAGCCTGACAGCGAAGTAGAATTATCTCATCTGGTTGTGTTTCCTGTCTGGTCTACCTGGGAAGTCTGACAGCCTGTGGTGATCAGACTCTGATTAAGCTCTCCCCTAAAAAGCCAGTATGTTTTGCCAAAACTCTCTTGACCCAAAAAACGAATAGAGACTGAATAACATCTAAGGATAGTAATTTGTAGATATACTGTAATAGTGGTGGGTTTCAAAAATTTTTACTACCGGTTCTGTGGGCATGGCTTGGTGGGCGTGGCTTGGTGGGCGTGACAGGGGAAAGATACTGCAAAATCCCCATTTCCTCCTAATCAGCTGGGACTCGTGAGGCAGGGGGCGGGGCCAGTCAGAATTTTTACTACTGGTTTTTACTACCAGTTCTCTGAACTACTCAACATTTCCACTACCGGTTCTCCAGAACTGGTCAGAACCTGCTGAAATCCACCTCTGTACTGTACATAGATATTATCTTCATAATTTTTACAGTTGGGGAGAATTCGGTGGCCCATGTTTATCTCACTCCACTGGGGTTGGCCCGTCCCACCCATGTTGGAAGAGAAGGTATGCTGCGGGTCCGTCAGCCTGATTATTCCCACTGGCGGGATCCAGGAGGAGGGCTTCTCTGCTGTGGCTCCTTCCCTCTGGAATCTCTCCCCCTCCCCCTGGATGTGAGGTTGACCCCAACCTTTCTATCTTTTTGTAAGGGCCTAAAGATGAGGTTCTTCGAGTCGTCCTGGGGCCCCAGTGGGGAAACAGCGCAATGAAGGTGGTTGATTACATAACAACAGATTCCACCTCCCCTCTCCCCACACTCTGTTCCCGCCCTCTGTGTCCTTGGTTTTAATGTCTGATTTTAATCTTTTATGTTTTAACTATATATGTTACTATAAGCCACATGGTAAGATGGGCAGTGAATGAATGAATGAATGAATGAATGAATGAATGAATGAATAAATAAATAAATAGTGTGTACTCCCTGCTTTCTCTAGTTAGGCTTTTTGACTTGAAACTGGGATGGGATTAGGCAGCCCTTCAAACTGAGAGGGATGCCTGGTGCTCACAACCCCTCCTTCCTTCCCATATTTAACCTCTATGGCTTACAGGGGATGGGAAAAGGGAAGGTCCGAAGAGTTTCAGCTTAGGCAATGAACCCTCCAGCCAGGGCTGAAGATAAGAGTGTGGTTGTGTTACAAGGCTCAAAGTTTAAAACCAGCCCTCTAAATTTTAGGTGTGACAAGTAAATGCCTAGGAAGTAAATTGTTGAGTATTGAATGGCAGATTCAAACGAGCCAATCAACGAAAGAGACCTGGGAGCGGGAAACCTAAGCAAGCATCAGTGGCTGAAGCCGCAGACAGCTCCGGGCTATAAAAGGAGCTGCCGTGGCTGGGATTAGCCATTGCAGTTTCGGAGTTTAAATAAAGTATGTGTTGCTAACAGAGTTTCCAGTCCTTCTTTACAGCCCACACTTAACATAAATCATATTGTGTTGTTGTAATTGCCGTTTTAACTAAGAGCCTCACTCACTTTGCCCAGAAGCCACATTGTTTTGCATCACGAAAAGGCTGCTCAGCTCTGATAGACTGATTTCCTCAGTCCCATCCCCAACAAAAATAATGGGGAAGGGCTCATGCCTCTTTCGAAAAATATACTTTCTGAATTAGCAACTTAAATGTGCAGTTTGATTCCATTTGCAAGGACATCAAAATACCTAAACATAAGTGATATGATAGCCATAAAAATGAAGAGTTCTATAATTATGCTCTTGGCTAATGTCTTGTATATTACATACCTCAATCAGTCTGCTTTGTTCCCACAAACGTCTTTGCATTATTGCAAGTTGTTCTTCCTGCAACGTTGACAAAATACACTATTTTAAAATGACAAAATGAATGTCAGCACAGTAATTTTTAGCTTTATTTTTGGGGGGGATTGTTTCTTCACCCTCAGATCTTAGATACTTCTGGTGACTAAATTCTGCACACTTGCCTGGAAGTACAGAACACTGAATAAAACAAGATTTATTTTGATATTGTTCTGTCTGTATTGACGCTGGCCCTTAATTCACAATAACTGCAATCTCTGCTTGCATAATTTGTTAGGGTTTCTTTTTCATTTCCTACTTTTTACACCCATGGAAAGCAGAATAAACTTAAGAGAGCCTGGTGCTTCCCCAGTGATGTTCAGTGTTGGGATTTATAGATGGGCACCCTGTCTGCCGTTGGACTGTCTAGCTCCTTCCTAGCCTCCCAAAATCTTGCTTGGAAAGAAAAACTAAGACTCCCTAGCACCTGTACGTGAGGCAGTATCCATCTGCCCTTTGCAGAGGCCACAACTGCCGGCTTCTTGCAGGAAACCTTCCTAAGAACAGAGATGGAGATGAGAGTGCCTGAGGGGCTAAATAACAAGTAGGATAAATATACTGAAACGCCGCCTATGCCTTTTGTAAAAGCTTGGATCATGTGTTCCCTTTCACAAGGTCAGAGGCACATGGGGCACAATTAAAAAGGAGCTTCAGTAGTTCAATCATGACTTCCAGTTTGTCTCTCCTACTGATACTCCTAATTTTTCTTTTAAAATGTGTCTAAAGAATATGCTATTGTTCTTTAATCACCACATTTCTGATTATCGGAGTAATGGTAACCAACATTTTGGCTTAGGGTTAAAAAAATGGGTGTAAGGGTTCAGTTCTTAATAGAATATATAACAACCCTCTTTCCCTCCCGCACGTATGGCCATTCAGATGTCAATCCCACTGAAATATCTCTAATGCTGCAGAATTAGTAAATATATCCTTATTATCTTATCATCACACTGATCTCCGTAAGAGATCAGGGCCACCAGAAGTGGGAGACATTTCCTTACTAAAACCCAATCAGTCGCATATGAAACTCCTTTACATTTCTTGACAATGTACACTCAACAGATTCCCCAGATGATAGATTGCTTACCTGGTGGCAACGTTTGGTGAAATGTAAATCACGATCTGCTTCTTCCTCACGGAGCCCAGGTGTGGGGATATCTTCCAGATGCTTGGAAAATTGGCAGTGCCTTGATGCATAAGGCTAGAAAGCAATTAAAGTTTTAAGGATTAATAAAATATGCTGGTAAGCGTGATGAAACATTCAAGTTTTGTAAGTTGACTCTGCCGCTATTGAACACATTATTGTTTTTGACCTCTCCTGTCCTACAGTCTTCGAAATTGACATATCAGAGTTATCAGATCAGATTTATTTCCTCTGTCACTTTCCCAACGGGTAGTAAGGAGGCACCAGCCAGAATTGAGATCAGATTAACTCAATGTACTCTGTAAATTAAACCTCTTTGATAAATGAGGATATATGACGATGCTTAAACTGGTACATGCCTTAGCAAGCAAGAACAGTATCAAAAACATTGGCAAAGGGGACCACACATTTTTTTTAAAAAATGTACTTTTCATTCTAGCACCTTAACTATAGACACTGATTTAATTTGTAAGGAAATACAGGTAATCCTTGATTTAACAACAATTCATTTAGTGACCGTTCAAAGTTATAACGGCACTGAAAAAAGTAATTTAAAACTTTTTCACACTTATGACCATTGCTGTACTCCCAAGGTCACATGATCAAAATTCAGATGCTTGGCAACTGACTCATATTTATGACGGTTGCATGTCCCCCGGGCTCATATGATCCCCTTTTGCGACCTTCTGACAAGCAAACCAATGGGGAAGACAGATTCACTTAACAACAGTGTGACTAACTTAACAACTGCACTGATTCACTTAACAACTGTGTCAAGAAAGATTGTAAAATGGGGCAAATTTCATTTAACAAATTCTCACTTGAGCCCAACAATCATGGTTGTAAATTCAAAACTACCTGTAAAGATAACCCAAAAGGAATCATATTTATTTTCATTGTTAATGTTTAGTTTACCGACTACAATTATATATTATATACCTCAGTATGTCTCCTTTCTGCCTCTGAAGTTGTTACTTTGGGAAGTCTTGATAGTTCTTCCTGCAACATTAACAAAATACACTATTTTAAAAAGATAAGCTTGTTGTTAGCATTAGACACTAATTTTTCTAGTAACTATTTGTTTGGGAGGGAGGGGTTAATATTAACCATTGTTTTTCTCTCCTCAAATCTTAGTTGCCAACTGATATCTCTGGCACCTAAACTCTGGACACTTGCCTGAAAGTATATACCACTGAATAAAATAAAATGTTTTTATATTCCTATCTGTATGTTTACACTGATACCAGCATTTAATTTGGACTCTGTAGCTGCAATCTCTGCTGGCATAATTTGTCTTTTCCCTTTTTATCTTTATTGTTTATAACCTGATGGGCTGGAATATTAAACAGCCTGCTGTTTTGTGGCATTTTAGTCATGTCAATACAGTGACTTATTATCCTTAAATTATTTTTTTTTCCATTAAAGTCTTTTTATCCCAAGTAGATCAGCATGCAATAGAGACTCCAGGTCTCTCTCTTATTTTTCCTTTCATTCGTGTTTGATTCTGCCTTAACAAATCCCTGTTGTTTTTTCTTTTTCAGAAATGGTTTGGCATTGTGTCCTTCCCAGGGCTTTCAAGAAGAGACTGGACTGCCCTATGTCAGAAATGGTATAGTGTCTCCTGCTTGGGGCGGGGGGGGGGGGGGGGCTGGACTAGATGACCTGCAAGGTCCCTTCCAACTCAGTTATTATTCTGTTAAAAGTGACTGGCCCAAGGTTACCCGGCCAGATTTATGCCTAAAGCTAGACAAGAATTCCCAGTATCCCCATTTCTAGTCTGATGCCTTAATCATGACACCAAAATGGATTTCCTGGACAGCTAACATAAGCTAAAAATATATTTCAAAAATAAAGCACAGAACCAAAACCTATAATGACAACTGAGGACAAATATAAACCACAATGAATGATCTGTCCATTCTCTCTCTCTCCCCCCCCCCTCCATCCCTGCCCCTCCCTCTCATTTTTATACTGCCTATCATATTTGGGTAGCATTAATTTGACGCATGAACAAAGCATTTTCTCTACCTCTTCTTGGAGATGCTTCATAGCGTTTCTCATTCTTCGCTTGAAACTGCCTTCCATCACTCTTTAATGGTGATTGGTGGCTAGAAGATAAAATAGTAGATGAGAAAGCAGAATAGCATTAACATTTCTTTTGGAAAATCAGAATATAGATTTTTGAGGGATAGAATCCAGAATAGCCTATAATGTTTTAAATGTATTTGTCCTCCAATTCTGAATGATCCTTCAGAACAGGCGTTCAACAGTCAGGCAACTTACAATTTCACATATCATAAAAAGACAAGCAAATAAATAATGTTCCTTCCCTAAAGGAACTAGGGGAAAAGTCACAATAATGAAAAATGTGATTGGTAAATTAAAATTCAAACAAGGAAACCATTGGCACCTAAAATCCAGATTAAAAATAAGTGTTTTTTAAATCTATTATATAAAGACAGAGAGATCGATAGCCAAAGACAACGGCTTCACGAGAGCCTTCCAAACTCTGGGAATGATGCAGGAAAAGGCCACCTTCCATCTGCCTTATACCACCAGCCTCAAAAAGCAATGGCTTCTGGGTTTCTCCTGCAGATTTCTTAGTCTGCTGAAACTCCTTCTCTTGGGCAGCCAGGCTCTTTAAAAAGGCAGCTCCCCTTTGCCTCCCCTAATAAGCAAGGTAGATCCTGCCCAAGCTTTCTGGGCAGCATCCCTATCCAGGAGTTTTCACTTTCTTTTGTTTTAGCTGAATATTTGGTATTTGTTTTCCAACTGATAGGGGCCCGGGAACTCTGAGCTACTTTTCAATATCCTATAAAGGACAGGGGAAATTCTTTTCATGAAAGCAGATGGGATCACTTTTCTCTCTTTTTTTGTACACCAACCTTTTTCCTTTTTTGTTGTTGTTAATGCTAGGTGTGAGTTTTTGTTTTGTTCTATTTTCTTTTTGGTATTTTACCTTTTATGATAAAACAAAATAAATATACTTAAACAGAATCTCTGCTATCATTAAACTCCATTTTAAATGTCTATTAGAGAACTTATGAGCCACTGAATCTTCTCTTCAGAGCTGTTTCCTTACCGGGATACTCAAGGCCTTTGCAAGGACAGACACCTTCACTCCAGAAGCTGGCCTGCACTCAAAGATGGGTGACAGTATATATAGCACAGTCCAATGACAGCACAGGAAATCTTTCATGACATTTTGTATTATGACATGATCTTTGATCTAGCTGAGGACAGATGCTGGGTATGCACCCCCAGAACCCACACAGTAGCTTTGTGTAGCTTTGAATATGAAAGGTTTGGAAGCTAAAAACAGAGATCTCAGACGGCATCTAAACCCTTTGTTTTCCAGATATTTGGTAGCAAGTTTCACAATCCGCCATTCGTCAATAGCACTCAACGGACATTTTGTGCAGGATATTCTTGTTCATTTGAGGAACACGGTTGATCAGGCTCCCTGCCTCCAGTATTCCTGAACACTGGATTGTCAATACAAACTCTGCTGGTCCATTTGTGATGCTAGTCCAGTTCATGGTTTAGAATGGTTTGTATACCCTGACAATCATTTGCTAGGCTCCAAGCCATCCGAAAAAGACAAACAAGGCAGTGATGGTCCTAGCTGGCAAAGTTTCTAGATTATTTCTTTAAAAGGAGCTGCTGATGATCTTGATTGTTTTGAATACATCAAGGCTTTTACTGTTGCTGGTTTTTCTAGACTACTTTTTAGACCATTGTGAGTAGTTTTTGCTGTCACTTTTTTTTTCAGGCCCCCAAGCCTCTTTGGTTATAGTTTCTCTGACATTCAAAATAGGAATACCAGAAATAATAAGAAGAAATAATAATAAATGCTAAATAAATCTTATTAGAGAAGATTTTTATATCTGGCAGATTAATGTAATCATTGCTACTCATCACTGCAAAAAGAGGCAGGCAGGTTTTGCTCCTATTGCTAAAATGTCTACAAAATCTTTTTAAGGAGAAATATTGTGTTGGGATATGTCAGTCGTGTGGATAGAGACATCTCTTTAGAGACTTCTCCAGTGAAAGTAATTTAGAGGACAATATTCTGTTTTGAATTCAGAAATGAAAAACTATCTAAAGTTAATGCAGGACGACTGAAGAGATTGGCCAGTGATCCCAAACCTCTGCCTGCCTCTTGAAAGGATTGTACAAAAAGCAGTTATTATTGAGTTAAGATTGGCTTGTAGACCTCTGGAACAAGCAAAGGTAACACACTTCCACCATCACTGCCACAAAGAGAAGGAGGTGCCTGCATCGTTTGCCATCTTTTCTTCCTTTTAATTTTGAGGATTTCATCAGATGCGTCACCATCTCCATCCAACACAACATTAAGGCTGTATGTGGCACACAGGCAACGATTCAAAGACCATACCTATGGTGCCTAATAAAAAAACCTCTAATCCTCATGTTGGAAGAAATATCCTTCTGGGTTCTGCTCCAAGTGGGGAAAAAGACACTGGAAACATGGAGACTGCTTGGAAAGATGGTTTAATGGTGGACAGGATCACATGGTTTGAGGTCCTGAACAGAAAAAAGGGATGAGTCCCCGGGTTTTATGCCCTCTTGGCTTTGAACTTCCTGGGGTCCAGAAAGAGTATCCTGATTGGTTGTCAGACTCCTAGGGGGTGGGGGTCTTAGCTAGCCTTGCTGCCTGATGTAATCTTCCCAGGTGCCATGTAGTGAGTTTCTGTCTTAGATGGGTCCCATTGTCTTGCAGATGAGGTCCATTGACAAAGATTGAGTTTCTGCCTCTGGCCCATTAACAAAAGGGTAGGGGCAGGAAGGTGGGAGCTGCTTTGTCTTTAAAACATGCTTCTCTATTTCTCATCCAGGGAAACATAATATTCTGCCTTTTTAATATTTCCCAAAATATTTCATTCTTCTAGGAAAGGGGTGGGTGCTAACTTCCTATACTCACATGTTGGATGTCCGGATTTGAGGCAAAGTAAAGGTGATGATACAAGTTATTTCCATCAATTATTAGTTTTGCATTTCTCAGCTGCAGGTCAGCAAAGAATTTGCTATGTTCCCTTACATAACTAATAATGCCAATGATGCCCATTCTTGTTAGCTTGAGTTCCTGTTAAAGGGAAAGAAGAAAAAAAGAATCAGACAGACCACATGACATGGAATAGACATGGGGAGACATTAGTTCATTCATTAGATCATATCACAGTTACAATACTTGAATGTTATGAGAAAATCATTCTTTAGTGTGAAATCTACTTGCATGATAGACAGATTTTTTGCTGTAAGGAAGAAGCCAAATAGAACGTATTAAATTGGGTGAGGGAAATCTATTGAGCTTCCAAAAATAATAAAATTGTAAATCTGAGCCCTTCCTTCCCAAATAAGACCCTGTTGTATTATCAATTATATCAAAAGAAGCCAAACAGGTCAGAGATATTCTGTCCCCATTACTATTGCAAAATCTTCTCTCCAACGTTCCTTGTGCACAATTTCCTGAGGCCATTGGGAACGGCATTTCTAGGAATCATGGAGCTTCAGGCTGGAAGTGCAAATGCTCTCTCTCCATTAATATAAATTTAAACAATAAATAAATATCCAGCAGTATCTGGACAGTTTATATGCTTGGGGTAGCCTCAGAACCTCCAGCTCCTTTACTCAATTCATCAAAAAGAGTTACTGTTTGTTTAACAAATAAGATTTTGCAGTGTTTCAACAGTGCAGCTGTCAACCTATTTTAGAATTATGGTAGACAAATGTAATATAACGATGTAAGCCATATGCATACCAGAGGATCTGATTTAAGAATAATTGTATTGTTATTGTCACTAAATCTACCTGTATATTTTGCATAATAAAAAACACAAAAGAACATTTTTATTTGTAAGGAAAAGTCACCTGTCCAGTTACATTACAAGAATTAAAATATCCAATAATACGTGAGCATTTAGAATTGAAAAGAGCACTGAATTCTGAAAGTAAAAGAAGTAATTGCAACAGAAAAAATGGTAGAATGGCCATGGGTGAGATACATTTTCAGCGTTTCCCAGCGTTGAGTTTGTATACTGAGAAAACAAAACTTTTATCAGCCACTCCTTGTTTTTCTAAAAGGGAGGCTTTTCTTGAAAGTTGAGGCTTATGGTGAATTATCAGCAATACATTTTTAAAAAGTCAAATTTAAAATACAAGAAAACCCGTGTTCGTTAGCCAGTGCAGCAGTATCACAAAAACCATATTGCAAGTATTACCGAGTCCATGCTGTGTGGCCCTGAATAGGCCACTGAAAATAGGAACCATTTTGAGTTTTATGCCTTGACGTTTTCAGGGCCCTTTTGTGAGGTGAGAGAGAGAGGAGGAGGGACCCAGACTTCCATGAGTGACAGGCCTGATGCTCAATCAGAGGGAAGAGTGTAATCAGGCCACGCTGAACCAGCCAATCAAAGGAGAGGGTGGAGAGATCTTGGGGTGGAGAGATTTTTTTCCCCTCAAGATTTGCCTCACTTCTTTCAGTCTTTTGTGTGGGGAGGTTGTGGGAGAATGAGGGGGATTTGTGAAGCGTTTTATTTCTGTTTTGAATTCTTTAGGCTCCCCCCACCCCAGATTTATATAGTTAGAGGTTCCTTTCCTTATCTTTCTATTTAATGCTTAGAGTCAATCTTCATTCCTGGCAGGTTTTCAGAAGGGGCTTGCCAGCCCTGAGCCAGAGGGACTGAGAATTTCGTCCTTTCCCTCTTCCTGCTCTAAAGCCTTTAACCTCCATAACCACCAAATGGGTTCTCAAGGTGACTGCCAGTCCCATTTCTTGCTGGACCTTCCTAAGACAATGGCAGGTTTAAAAGCTTGCCTAGCAAAAAAAACATTGGACCTTTCAGGGACTATTTTGGGATAGATAAGGGAGAAAAGAAGCTTAATAATCATCTGAGGCAATTAATGAAGAAAGTTAGCACCCGTAGAAGAATGAGGTGGAAATATTAAAAAAGCAGAATATTATATTTTCAGTAAAGGAGAAACATATTTCTAAAGACAGAAACTCAGAGCCTCCGCTCCCTGCCCCAAGTAGAAACCTAAGGGCCAATTTTTAGAAATGCAGGTTTGGTAATCCATTCAAGATAGGATTAAAACCCCAATGAAGCCAGAATCTAGGTTAATTACATTTATTAAACAAGATTTAAAACCCCAAGTCATTGCAGGCCTTCGGGAGACAAACTAATTAAAATCAAATAACAAAATACAGAAAACAAGCCTCTAAATTACAAAATGTTGTAGAACAAACTATTAAAATTCAGGTGCTCATCAAACCAGATGGTCAGTTACCCAGAATCTCAAGTGCTTGGTGGTTCTGCTTCACCATTAAACCATCCTTCCAAGTAGCCTCTGTGTTTTCAATGTCTTTCTCCTCACTTGGAACTGAACCCAGATGGACATTTCTTCCAACATTAGGTAGTCCCTTAAAAACCTTGATTTTTGTCAGTGGGAAACCTCTTAAACATTGGCAATTAAATTCTACAATATACAGTATGATTTCAAGGATGTTGTTGCTCATCCTGGGATCTCTTTCAAAATGTCACTTGGGGAACTGCCCTTTAAGCTCTTTCTCACCCTTCCAATTTAGAAAAATCTACAAAATATTTAGGCAGTATTAGAAGCTGATCACACTAATCAAGTTACTAATTAAACATAGCTAGCCAACATGGAAAGAGCTCCACACCCTTTTTTATGGACATTATTTGGTGACTGCTTGTTTGGTTGATCATTCCTAAACACTGTGGAAATACTGGCCATATAAGAAATTAAAAGAGTCGGTGGGGTGATTTTTGTCCTGGGGGATGAAGTGTATCATAGGACTAGCAAAACTACTATAGATGATAAGGTACCATGTCCCATCTCCAAAACAGAAAAGGGATATTATGAAAGTTAATTAAAAACCTCATTAAGAAATGAGTCTTCCTGTGCCCCTTTTAAGTTTTTGCAAAAGATGGCAGCGCTCAAGAGTCACAATGAGCTTCTTAAGCATTGTGGGTCGTGCATACAATTCTTTCTGAGTTGAATAATAGATATTGGCCACAGCCCTACAGAAGACAAAAGGGGAATTAAAATTCTTCACGAGAAATAGAGTAATCTCTGATGCTACTGTCTGGGAAACAAGCAAAGTATTAACTGACATGGGAGGCTATTTAGAGGTTCATTGTGTTTACTCAGCAATCCTTGGAATATCAATTTAAAACATGTAGAAAGATTTATATTTTCTGGGAAAGACAGGTTGACTAGCCTATCTAGTCTGCATAACTGCCCAGAGTCACTTTGAAGAGTGAGACAGGCAGCATATCAATTTAATAAATATTTTCTCAAATCTCCCTTTAAAAGAATGATATTTTGTGATTTGCCTTCCAGTGCATTTCTAGCGTTATGGGCTACAGTACTTGAATACACCTGAGCCTTCTTCAGTACCAGCCGTTTTTCTTCCTGTGTTGCTTTTTCAAAATCCAGTTTTAACATATGAGGAACACCTTAGAACGGAATAACCTACATTTGGTTTGCACCAAATCTCTGCTATCAGTGTGCACCAATATCTGTAAATTGCAATAAATAACTGGAAAAATAAATGCAGTTTAGAATTATTTAGGATTATTTAAAAATAATTTTTAGGGATTATGATTAGCAAATCGACATTTTCATTTAAGTTTCCTCTTTTTAAAAAAAAATCTGAGTCACAGCTAAATAGGACACTGGATATGTTGTAGTGAGGAACTGTTTATTCTTTTGACATTTTCAAGGCCATTTTGGGGGGAGGGGGAGGGGCCTGGAATTCATGAGTGACAGGTCTGACACTCACTCAGAGGGAAGTGCATAATCAGGCCCTTTTTCTAGCAATCACAGGCAAGGGTGGAGAGAATTTGAGATGAGATTTTTTCCCTCTCAATGATTCACTTACCTCATTTTAGTTTTTTGACTGAGCAGCTTGTGGGAGAATGGGGAAATTCCTCAACCACTTTATTTCCCTCTCTGAATTTTCAGAGGTTCCTTTCTAGCTTAAAATATTCCTTATGTTTTTGTTTAATGCATGGAGTCAGTCTTCAGTCTGGTCAGATTTTCGAAGACTTTGCCTGTCGTTTCTGGGGCTGAAAGGGGGACTGGGCCATGGTTCCCCATTTGGATTGCGAAATTTTTTAAACAATTGTTTAAAGTGGGTAGCTGTGTTAGAAATAGGAATGAAGCAATAAAGCAACAAAGGGAATCTGGTATCAAAAAGTAGCAAAAGTTTATTGAAGCATTTGCAAATACGGGTGCGCACGAGATGGACCCAGATTAAAGCATGCAACAGGTTTTTATACCCTTTTACCCATTGCTCAACATTGTCTTGGTTTCCCCATTGGCTGGGTACTAGCAAGCTCACAGCCTACCTAGACGCCTACTAACAATATTCCCTTATTTGGTGGCAAGGCAAGGTGTGATTTATGCATCATTGCTGTAGTGTATTGAGCCTGCTCAGTAGGGGAGGCCCCCTGTTGTTATGTTCCGTAACGTTTCTGTAAGATGATTGGTTCACCGTCTGACAAGCCGATATATATAAGGGCTGTCAGGCAGAAGTTCGCGCGTTCTGTTCTGAGGCAGCTCCGGTTGCCAGCTGTAACTTGTTATGATTTTTTTTAAAGGTTTTTTATTTTTAAACAAATCACGACAAAACATACAAAACATGTAAACATATAAAGAAGAATTCAAATATATATCAAGTTTATCGTAACTGTACTGTATGTTCTTATTTGTGTTTTCGACTCCTTACTACTATTGGTCTATCTCTTATATCTATTTTGTTGGTTCATTGTTAAACCATGTTCGTAAGTTTATATTCATATTACTCTTAAATTACTTCACTTACATGCTAATTTTTCCCTTTTCTGCCTTCCAACCAGGTGTACCTCTTTTCCCATACTAAATTGTAATCGTGTTCTTCTCTATTTTGTAGTTCCTTTGTGAGTCTGTCCATTTCTGCACAATCCATGATTTTGTTGATTACTTTTTCTTTCACTTCCTTTCCAATTTTGTGCAAAAATTATTC